CAGTGTGAGACTCCGGCTCCCAAAAAAAAAAAAAAAAAAAAAAAAAAAAGTATAGCTATTAGATTTTATGAAGTAGATAATTGTAATGTTGTTAAAATTATCTGCTGTAATATGTAACCAAATGGGACCTTTAAAACCCAGTGTTTTTCCAAACCTCTCCCTTTGGGTTGCAGCCTTGGAGTGTGCCAAGAGCCACAGTGGTGCCCCGCAGGTCCTCTTGCCTGGATCATTGGCTGATTTTGTCTACACGTAGTATTTATTTACCATTTTAATTCTTTCAGTGGCCCTGTTTATCATGATTGAACCAGTATTGGTAAATATTTTGATATTACTGGGTTTGTTCAGCATGGTAGTGCACACGATGCTCTATTGACTTGGAATTCTCCTCAGGATGTTGAGTCCTCCACTCAGCCTCGATTTCAAGGGAGCTAAGCTGCTTTCCTGACCCTTTGCGCAGTCCGAGTGCTGGGTGCAGCAGCTTTACCTTTCTTCCTGATGACATTCAGAAGTACAGCTGCGCCGGGCGCGGTGGCTCATGCCTGTAATCCCAGCACTTTGGGAGGCCGAGGCGGGTGGATCACGAGGTCAAGAGATCGAGACCATCCTGGTCAACGTGGTGAAACCCCGTCTCTACTAAAAAATACAAAAAAAAAAAGCTGGGCGTGGTGGTGCGCACCTGTAGTCCCAGCTACTCAGGAGGCTGAGGCAGGAGAATTGCCTGAACCCAGGAGGCGGAGGTTGCGGTGAGCCGAGATCGTGCCATTGCACTCCAGCCTGGGTAACAAGAGCGAAACTCCGCCTCAAAAAAAAAAAAAAAAAAAATACAGCTGCTGGCTTTTCTCGTTAATTCTCACCAGTTAGAGATGGGAAGAAAGAGCAGAGGATGTTTTAGGACAATGTGGGTAAGGACGCTGTCCCCTGAATTTTTGGCTCTTGTCCTCTTTTATTTTAACAGGTATTTACAAGCTCCTCTTTTCAGTTTAACATCTTGGTTTTCGCAAGCAGTCGGTGGGACCTGCCGTGTCTTTTTACTGTGGAAAGGAAATCTAGCAGGAACCTCAGTGTTTCCAGCAGGAAACTTTCTAGGCTTACGGAGAGCCCCTCTGGGAACCTCCACACCCACAAAATTAATATCCTCAATGAAGGACTCCTGCTTGGTGCTACCTCCTTCCTCTGCCAGCCCATCTGGCCACCCTTGTGGGTTTCCCTGGTGCTTCATTAGGTTCTACTACCCACAGAGTAGGAGGAGACAGTCTCCCTGCCCTGTGTCCTTTGCTGAGTTGTGGGAGGAAGAAATTTCCCACTCATCACCAGTAGTAGAACATAATTTGGAAAGTTGCTCTATTTCTTTTTATAGTTCAGAATTTTGGGGGAAGCATTGCGCTCTGGGCTCTGAGCAAGACCAGGGAGACGGTCTTTAGAGGAGTCTCCACATTATTCTTGACAGTTCCCTCACTTAAGTGCAAGATTACAGGACCTATTTCAGTCCAGTCGTGATGGAGAGGAGCAGGTTTGTGTTGTGAAGACCAGTAATAGATGGTATCTGACACAAATAGTGGTGTACAGAAAGAAAACTTTGAGACCATTCTAACCAAGCCCCTTAATTTGAAGATGAATTTGAGGTTCAGGGAACAGAAGGAACTTTGTCTGAGCCTGTAGCTAATTTGGAACTGGACTCAGGGCTTCTAGCTCCCGCCCTAGACTTGGACTTTTTTTCTGCACTGCTGCTGAACTCAAAGTCTGAGTTTACCCAGAGAAACCTGGCACCTGTTGCTCATGGGTGTGAACTGGCTTCCTAAATTGGATGATTGAGAGTCATGTCCCTGGCCCATTTGGGCTTAGGTTGATGTCAGCTTTCCTGGCAGCCAAAGGATCTCTGCTGCCTCCTGCTGTTGGCACCAAGTATTAAAATTGTTTTGTTTGTTTGTTTGTTTGTTTGCTTGTTTTGCCTGTTGCCAGGCTGGAGTGCAGTGGCGTGATCTCGGCTCACTGCAGCCTTTCCTGGGTTCAAGCGGTTCTTGTGCTTCAGACTCCCAAGTAGCTGGGATTACAGGCATGTGCCACCACACCCAGTTAATTTTTGCATTTTTAGTAGATGGGGTTTCACCATATTGGCCAGGATGGTCTGGATTTCCTGACCTTGTGATCTGCCCACCTCGGCCTCCCAAAGTACTGGGATTACAAGGCAAGGCTGAGCCCAGCCTTGACATTTTAAATGTAATTCAAACATCCTAGTTGAAGTATTATCCAAAACAGTAAATATTCTAAGGCAAAAAATCAAAAGTCTTGAAAAATAGCTTATCCTAGTTTTACAGTATTTTTCTGGTACTTACTAGGAACTTGTCAGTATCTCATTAAATCATATTTGCCATGCCCATGATTCATCTTGGTTTCTTTTTGGCCATTTCCCCTACCCCTCATACCCATTTCCTGTCCTGAATTGGTAAGCTCTGTGAGGATGTGAGGACTGTAAGCCACATGAAGCCTGGGAGCTTTTAAATATCAAACACCTGGAATAGTGGCATGTGATAGGAGCTCGGCTGATGCACATTCATTGAATTCATGTAAAAATACTCCCTTTGGTAAAGTGTTTTAAATGTTTGTAGGGTTTTTGATCCTGTTTAAAAGACAGATATTTCTGTTTTCATTTTCCTTTTAAAATGTTTGTTCCCTCTCACTTCGTAATGCTACTTTAAACTTGTACTAACAGTAGGCTACCTACTAATAGCCTGCTGTTGATCAGATGCCTTCCTAATAACATAAAGAGTTGATTAAACTGGGGATAGTTCAGTGTTGGATGATGTGAAGCATACAACACTTTCTGTCTCTTGTGAACAAAATGACTATTTGATTCATTGTTTGAATGGTGATTAATATATTTGCTTAACATTTGGAATTTCTAATACTTATATGAGAGCATGATCTGTATTGTAAAATTAAATTTCATTTGTGGAAAAATTAGAAACATTCTTCTCCCGTGGAAATAATTACGGTAAAACATTGATTGTATATTTAGGTCACTGACACTCTAAGTTTTTGATTGTTTTAATGTGATAAATATGAATATCTTGGTTCATCACTTTATTTTAGTATAATGCTATAGTGTTGTCTAGATACCAAAGCTTTTTCTTTCTATTTAAATTAAGCCCCCTTTTCTTGCAATATTAAAGATGTATGGACATCATTAGCCATGGGGGAAATAAGGGTCAAAACTGCAACAGGATACTCCGTATCCACTTGGGTAGCTAAAGCAAAAAAGATGGTGTTGTGGTGTGATTTTTTTTTTTTTTTTTTTTTTAAAGACGGGGTTTCACCGTGTTGGTCAGGCTGGTCTTGAACTCCTGACCTCAGGCGATCCACCCGCCTTGGCCTCCAAAGTGCTTGGATTACAGGCGTGAGCCACCGCACCCGGCCAGTGGTGGTGTTTAGGATGAAGAATTGGAACCCTCATACATTGCTGATAGGAATGTAAAATGGTGCGGCTACTGTAGAAAACACTTTGGCAGGTGATGAAAAAGCTAAATATAGAGGTACCATTGACCTATGTATGGTAATTCCTAGGTGTATACGCCTCCCCCTCAAAAAATATGTTTGCGGGGCACAGTGGGTCATGCCTGTAATCCCAGCACCTTGGGAGGCTGAGGCAGGCAGATCATGAGGTCAAGAGATTCAGACCATTCTGGCCAACATGGTGAAACCCGTCTCTACTAAATATACAAAAATTAGCTGGGCGTGGTGGTGCGCACCTGTAGTCCCAGCTACTCAGGAGGCTGAGGCAGGAGAATTGCTTGAACCCGGGGGGCAGAGGTTGCAGTGAGCTGAGATCGCACCACGGCACTCCAGCCTGGCGACAGAGTGAGACTGTGTCTCAAAAAAAAAAAAAAAAAAAAGTATGTTCACACAATAATGTATACACGAGTGTGCATCACATTATTATTTTTATAGCCCCTAAAGTGAAAATAACCTGAATGTTCATAAAGTAAATGGATGAACAAAATGTTGCATCTCCATACAGTGGAATACAATTTGGCAGTAAAACTAAGCAAAATATTGATGCATGCTGCACAAGAGTCAGACTTGAAAACATTATGCCAGTTACAAAAAAACACTTTATATGATTCCATTTATAGGAAATGTCCAGAATCACCAAGTAGATTAGTGGTTGCTAAGGGTTAGAGTGGGTAGGAGAGAGATGGGGAGTGAATGCTAATGAATATGTTGTTTCTTTTAGAAGCAATGAAAATGATGTCATTTAAATAGTAGTGATAGTTGCACATCTGAAATCCATTAAATTGTATACCTAAAGGGGTTATATGATACATGAGTATAGTTGTTACTGAACCGAAATCCACAGCTGAGGCTTGAACAGCACAAGGGTTAGAGGCACTGACCAACGCCTTCCAATGAAGTTAAAAATCCATGTCTGACTTTTGTCTTGACCAAAGCTTAACTACTAATATTCTGCTGTTGATCAGAAGCCTTCCCGATGACATGAACAGGTGTTTAACATGTATTTTGTATGTGTGTTATATAGCATATTGTTACAATAAAGTAAGCTACAGAAAACATGTTAAGACAGAAAAAGAAATTATGTTTACTATTTATTCATTAAGTGGAAGTCGATCATCATAACGGTCTTCATCCTCATCATCCTCATGTTGAGTAGGCTGAGGGGTTGGTCTTGCCGTCTCAGGAGTGCAGAGGTGGAAGAACATCTGTGTATAAGTGGACCCATGCAGTTCAGATCTTCAAGGTTCAACGGTATATAGATGCATTTGCTTCCACAAGCATAATCTCTGAAATGATATACATTGGTTGCTTATGGGAAGGAGAGCTGGATTCCAATGAGGGTAGGCATGGGAGGGAGATTTTTACTAAACATTCTTTTGTGTTTATCAAACTTGGCAGCCTGTCATTTTATTACGTGCTTTTCAAATAAATAAAAGTTATATAATGAGTTATTAATAGCTTATCTCCTCTCTTAATTTTACTATGTCCAGGTCCTTCAAGGATTAGATTATCTACACAGTAAGTGCAAGATCATTCATACTGACATAAAGCCAGAAAACATCTTGATGTGTGTGGATGATGCATACGTGAGAAGAATGGCAGCTGAGGCCACTGAGTGGCAGAAAGCAGGTGCTCCTCCTCCTTCAGGGTCTGCAGGTGAGGGAGCTGAGCCAGCTTCATTTCAGTCTGTCTGGGGGTATTGTAAGCTTGCAGTCTTGCATGTTGAAGGTTTCTGAATCAAACGTTATATGTAAGGACATTTTTGGCAAAGTTTAATTTCTGGAAATAACTGCACCCTTTTCTTGAGATGGAAGATGCCCCAGGTACATTATATTTTAATATTTGAATTACTTGCCATTTAAATTTGTAGTTGCTGCTTCATTGATGTTGGAACAGTTTTTTTCTGTTGCCCACTTCTCTGCAGAGGAGAACATAGTAACAGCTTTCCTGAAGCTGACTTTTAGTCATCAGAATATTTTTCGAGCTTCAGTTATGTTACAGTAATTTCTGTTGTCCATTTGTCGTAGCTTTGTCAATCTGAGTTTTATCAGTAGATTTGGAGTTAGTTAGAAGAGGCCTGACGGTGGGGGAAGAAGACCAAGTGACCTGAGTATTGGCATATCTTTATTTCTGGTGGGGGTGCAGTGAAGTGTGGACTGTGCTTCTGTGGCTCTTCGACCGCAAGCATAGATAGTAAAGGGCTGAGACTCTGGGGACTGTCTGGGGTCTCTTTACATCTCCTCTACTGCCATCACGGTGTTGTTTAGATCATGGACCCAGCCTGTCAAACTTTTGGCCCTGATAGAGTTTAATTGTGTGATTTCTAGAATATTAGCTGCATACCAACTGCAGTATTTGATTCAAATTGTAGAAAGCTTGCAAAATAGATTTAAAATACAGATCTACATCTAATCTAAATTGTTTATTTCATTTTATTTATAACAAATTTGGTTTAATGACGGTGATCTGCTTCCATTTTCTTAAGCTATCTGTTGGTGCTTTGGGATTGACTGATTTTGAGGTGTATTAGTATTTCATTTTAGATAAATAAGAGAAATGACTCAGTATGAACCACTTTTCTGCTGTGCATTTTAAGAGTCAGTTGTTTGTTTCCGTTGCATAAACTTTGTCTAGATCCCAGTGATTACGAAGCTCTGATTAATATGTTTGTGAAGTTGGATAGTCATTAAAAGATAATAATTATGTCATTTTGCAATCCAAATAACCTGCATGAGGGTATGTGTCTGTTCTCTGCTAAATACCAATTTTGTTTCATTTTATTTTAGTGAGTACGGCTCCACAGCAGAAACCTGTAAGTACTTAACGAATATTACTTTTATGCACCATGACAAAAGAGACCATTTATGATTCAGTTGTTCAAATTATTAAAAAGTTGTAGTATATATTAATTTAAAGGGTAGACACATTTATAAACGCTGTGTATCCTCAAATATTTAAGACCGTCTTGTTAAGTTTTTTGTTTTGTTTTGTTTTTGTGACTGAGTCTTGCTTTATTGCCCAGGCTGGAGTGCAGTGTTTCGATCTTGGCTCACTGCAGCCTCCCCCTCCCAGGTTCAAATGATTCTCCTGCCTCAGCCTCCCAAGTAGCTGGGATTACAGGCACCCACCACCATGCTCAGCTAATTTTTGTACTTTTAGTAGAGATGGAGTTTCACCATGTTGGTCAGGCTGGTCTTGAACTCCTGACCTCAAGTGATCTGCCCACCTTGGCTTCTCAAAGTTCTGAGATTACATGCATGAGCCATCACACCTGGCCTGTCTCGTAAAGTTTTAGTGATCTCTGCAGAATTGGAATAGTTAAGAGCCTTTCAAAGATTGTCTTCTGGATTTTCTGGACTACAGTTGGCCAAGTCTAATGAAATGTGGGGTGGTGGAGTTGAAGCATTTTTATTTCAAAACCACTTTATATTATTTCTGATTGGCTGCTAAGTTACCTGTTTTTTCTGAAGCTGTTGTTCTAATTTTTTTCCAGCCAGATGTTAAATAAGAAAGAGGTACTTTGTAGTCCTGTCAAAACACTTTGTCAGTACTAGGTACCAGGCATGGTGGCTGACGCCTGTAATCCCAGCACTTTGGGAGGCTGAGGCCAGCAGATCGCTTGACGTCAGGAATTCGAGACCACCCTGGCTAACATGGTGAAACCCTGTCTCTACCAAAAATGCAAAAACTAGCTGAGTGTGCTGGCAGATGCCTGTAATCCCAGCTACTCAGGGGGATGAGGCAGGAGAATTGGTTGAGCCCAGGAGGGGGAGGTTGCAATTAGCCGAGATCAGGCCATTGGACTCCATCCTGGGTGACTGAGTAAGACTCTGTCTCAAAAAAAAAAAAAAAAAAAAAAAAATCAGCTGGGCATGATGGCGTGTACCTGTACTTCCAGCTATATGGGAGGCTGAGGCATGAGAAACACTTAAACCGGGAAGTGGAGGGAGCAGTGAGCCAAAGTCACGCCACTGCACTCCAGCCTGTGCAACCAAACAAGCCCCTGTCTCAAAGAAAAAGAAAACAACAACAAAAAAACAAACTTAACAAGAAAACACTATGTTTACTGAGACAACCCTTGATTTGGAATGTAAGTTCTGGAATAAGAGGGAGCTGTAATAATTAGGCTTCCTGGCTTGCTGAGGAGCCCAGGTTGTTTCCCATAGTTCTTCCCTGGCTTAAGCCACCTGAGTTTACTGCATGAAAGATTGGAGGCTCTCCTTGTCAGTGCTTTGCAAGTCAGCTGGCCATGATGGGAGGCAAACAAAAGCTGTGGCTTCCTTTTTTTTTTTCACTTTGCTGCATAGGCTTATCTCTTATAGTTCATGTTGTCTTGGCTGGTAAGAGCTTCCAAGACGTATGTGAGACCCAAACACACAGTGACGTACACCTGCTCGGGCGCCTGTCTCATTTTTGGCAGTGAGGAGATGGGATGTTGTTATTTTGTATATAGAGGGCAGCATATAAAACTTCCAAGAGGAGCTTCTCCTTTAAGGCCAAGAGAATTTTGGACTTCAGTTCTCTTAGAGTTTGAATGGTAAAGGCTTACTGGATTTAAGCTGTATCCCTCTGAGGGCAGGACCTGGTAGTAGACCCAGCACGTGATATCAGTCAGCACTGCTTTCCCTTTGATTTTACCGTAAGCCTTACCATGAGGTGGATCTGTCTGGGTTTGGGATTTTTGTAGAATATGGCATGAAAAAGCAGAGTTTATTGTTAGTTGCCATGCTGCCAGCAGTTAGACTATCATGTGGTGCTTTAAAAAGAAGAAAACCAACCTGTGGTCTTTTCTTAACATGTTATAGATAGGAAAAATATCTAAAAACAAAAAGAAGAAACTGAAAAAGAAACAGAAGAGGCAGGCTGAGTTACTGGAAAAACGCCTGCAGGAGATAGAAGAATTGGAGCGAGAAGCTGAAAGGAAAATAATAGAAGAAAACATCACTTCATCTGCACCTTCCAATGAGCAGGATGGTGAATATGGCCCAGAGGTGAAACTAAAAACAACAGGATTAGAGGAGGCGGCCGAGGCAGAGACCACAAAGGACAACGGTCAGTGGGGCCAAGAACCTGGGCTGCATGGGGTCCTCAGGCTACCATGGGGGCTGATTTGTGCTGCTGCTTCAGATGGCAAGGATGATTCTCTCCAAGTCTCTATTGGGAAGTACGGGAAACAGCCTCGTACTTCATTTGTGAACTGTATGCCAGAAATACAACATTTCAAAATAGTTTTTAAAAATGTAAAATGTCTGGCCAGGCGCGGTGGCTCAAGCCTGTAATCCCAGCACTTTGGGAGGCCGAGGCGGGTGGATCACGAGGTCGAGAGATCGAGACCATCCTGGTCAACATGGTGAAACCCCGTCTCTACTAAAAATACAAAAAAGTAGCTGGGCATGGTGGCGCGTGCCTGTAATCCCAGCTACTCAGGAGGCTGAGGCAGGACAATTGCCTGAACCCAGGAGGCGGAGGTTGCAGTGAGCCGAGATCGCGCCATCGCACTCCAGCCTGGGTAGTAAGAGCAAAACTCCATCTCAAAAAAAAAAGTAAAAAATGTCTGAGAAACACCACGTTTCTATCATGCTAAAGATGGTGCGTTATTTTTGTCATTAACTTTTTACCTAACTGTAATGCACCACAAATGTATTTCTGAAGATTGTAGAGGGTGGAAATGGAAGTGCAACTTTATTTAGAAATAGTTATTTTCTCCCAAAGCTAACTTTTTCTTATAAGAGCAGACCAATTATTAAATGAACCAAAAATGAGGTTTCGAAAACCTGAAGGTTTTACTCCAAAAGCGGAGAGGTGTTTACTATGAGGTGCATAAGTTAAGCACATTTAAAATGTATTTTATTGATGAGATGTGAGGCTGTATTAAGGAGAGTAACAAGTTCTAATTCTTGACCCATCAACTTCTTAAGGTGAAGCTGAGGACCAGGAAGAGAAAGAAGACACTGAGAAAGAAAACATTGAAAAAGATGATGATGATGTAGATCAGGAACTTGCGAACATAGACCCTGCTTGGATAGAATCACCTAAAACCAATGGCCATATTGAGAATGGCCCATTCTTACTGGAGCAGCAACTGGACGATGAAGAGGATGATGAAGAAGATTGCCCAAATCCTGAGGAATATAATCTTGATGAGCCAAATGCAGAAAGTGATTACACATATAGCAGCTCCTATGAACAATTCAATGGTGAATTGCCAAATGGACGGCATAAAATTCCTGAGTCACAGTTTCCAGAGTTTTCCACCTCATTGTTCTCTGGATCCTTAGAACCTGTGGCCTGCGGCTCTGTGCTTTCTGAGGGATCACCACTTACTGAGCAAGAGGAAAGCAGTCCATCCCATGACAGAAGCAGGACGGTTTCAGCCTCCAGTACTGGGGATTTGCCAAAAGGTAGGTGTTCTTCTCATCAACTGTCTGCCATCACTGACTCCTGGGGTGTGCCTTTAGCAAATGCTATGAAGGAATTGGCTGAAAGTGGCCAACCCCTGTATGCTTGTGCTAATCGTTTTTATTACTTTTATACTCAGGAACAAGTAATGTGATTTAAATATACATTCTGTGCCACTAGGCTATCTCTTGTTCTCTGCATACTAAATCTTATTTCTGACTGGTTCTCATTTTTAATATATTCAGTCAGCAGCATCATTTGCAAAAACCTTCCAGTTTTAGCAACTTACACCTGTAGCTTTCCAGAATGTGTAGTTTGTATCTTCTTCCATCTGATATGATTATATTTAGTTTTAGTTTTGTTTTGTTTGTATTCAAGAACAGTATGCCTGCTCTTTGGCTCTGTTGGGAAAGAAGTGTCATAATGTCTTTTCATAGTTGTTCCTGATTATAGGACCCTGTTATTGATAACTCACCCAGGATTGTAAATTTCAAGGAATTGGCGTGGATTTAAATGTGATATCACATGATAGATTGGCTCTTGTGTTCTTGTTTACCTAAGAAGCCTTGACTTATTCAGACCCTTATTTTGGGAGTGAATGCCAAGTGACTCTGGTATGTGGAAACTGGGTAACTCAGTTGGTTTCCATTCTGGCTCAAGGTGGGAAAGCTTTGGAACCTCCTCTGCTCCCTCTACTGACAAGACTGTTTAGCACACAGTGAGTAATTGATGAGCCAGCCCTGCCAACAGTCCAAGATGTTGTGCAGCCCCTGGGTTCCAGCAGGCTGGAATTGCACAATAAGGAGTGAGCTGGGTTTGTTAAGAACTGGCTATGATGAATCCTCCTAAGGATGTGTTTTCTTTACTTGGCTGGACGTGGTCAGCTACTGTTCCCCTTTATAGGGAGTGTTTGAAGGTGCTTACATAGAATGCAGGTTAATTTCTGAGATGTACCTTACCCAGATTTATTGTTGCTGTTGCAGTTGAATTTTTCTCTTAATGAAAGGTTTTTTTTTTTTTGAGATAGAGTTTCGCTCTGTTGCCCAGGCTGGAGTACAGTGGTAGGATCTTGGTTCACTGCAACCTCTGTTTCCCAGGTTCAAGCGATTCTCATGCCTCATCCTCCTGAGTAGCTGGGACTACAGGCATGTGCCACCACATCTGGCCAATTTTTGTAGTTTTAGTAGAGACAGGGTTTCACAATGTTGGCCAGGCAGGTCTCGAACTCCTAACCTTGTGATCTGCCCGCCTCAACCTCCCAAAATGCTAGGAATACAGGTGTGAGCCACAGCACCTGGCTGAAGTTTGATATAGAAAGTAATTTACAAACTTCCTTCCCTTCCTTCCTTTTCTTCCTTTCCTTCCTTTCTTCCTTTGTTTTCTTTCATCCTGTCCTGTCCTTTTCCTTTCCCTTTCCTCTTCCTCTTCCCGTTCCCCTTCCTTCCTTCCTTTTTCCTTTTCTCTTTCCTTTTCCTTTTCCTTTTCTTTTCTGTTCTTTCTCTCTCTGCCCCTCCCTCCCTCCTTCCTTTCCTTTCCTTCCCTCCCTCCCTCCCTCTCTCCCTTTCTCTCTCTTCCTTTCTCCTCCCTTTCCCTTTCTCTTTCTTTCCTTTTCCTTTTCCCTTTTCCTTTTCCTTCTTTTCTTTCTTTTTCTTTCTCTGTCTCTCTCCCTTCCTTTCCTCCCTTCCCTCCCTCCCCTATCCTCTCCCCTCACCTCCCTGTCTCCCTCCCTCCTTTCCTTCTTCCTTCCTTCCTTTTCTCCCTCCCTTCCCCACCCCTCCATCCTCCACTCTGTTGGCCACGCTGGAGTACAGTGGTGCAATCTCAGCTCACTGCAACCTCCACCTCCTGGACTTAAGCAATTCTTCTGCCTCAGTCTCCTGAGTAGCTGGGATTCCAGGCGCCTGCCACCATGACCAGCTAATTTTTGTATTTTTAGTAGAGACAGGACTTTACCATGTTGCCCAGGCTGGTCTCGAATGCCTGACCTTAGGTGATCCATGTGCCTCAGCCTCCCAAAGTTATGGGATTACAAGCGTGAGCCACCATGACCCGCCCAAAGTACGTTTTTTATTCTTACTTATTTTGCAGGTATTAGCTTGGGCTGGAGTGGCTTCAAGTACAGTCAGCCTTCCTTATCCATGGGTTTTACATCTGTGCATTTCACATCTGTGTGTTCAGCCAACCTCAGTTGGGAAATAGTTGGAGCAGAAAAAAAACCTGTGTCTGTTTTGAACATATACACACTTTTCTCCCTTGTCATTATTCCCTAAACAATACATTAAAGCAATTACTTATGTACCATTTACATTTTAGCAAGGTATTATAAGTAACTAGAGATCAACTAAAGTATATAGGAAAATGTATGTAGGTTATATGCAAAGACTACACCATTTTATATCAGAGACCTGATCATCTGTGGATTTTGGTATCCTCAGGGTGTCCTGGAACCAGTCCCCCTGCAGACACTGAGAGGCACCTACATGCCAGATTTAATCCCAGCTCAAAACTTAGTAACTGGAATTTTGGTTTCTTGTCCTCTCTGAGCCTTGGTTTATTCCTCTATCAAAGGAAAGAAATGGCTACCTCTTGTGTTGTTAATAGCACTGAATTAAATAAAACAGGTAAATGGCAAAGGTAGATAAATAACATGTAATATATTGAGAAATTTCCATTGAATGTAAGTTGCCTTGATCATTACAATCAATGCAAAGGAGCACAATTGCTGCCTGTTACCATGTGCTCGTCATCAGAGACCCAGGCAAGTCATGAGACTTATCCTGCTGTTTACATGGCAGCTCCATCTCTGTGTCACAGGAAACTTCGAACTTTACGTGTTTAAAACCGTAATACAACTTTCCCTGCCAGCCTGCTAAATATACTGTATTCCCTATACTTGTTTCCACCATTTATTGTCGCTCCAGTAAGAAACTTGATGAACATGATATTTCCTTTTTTTCTCTCACATCCAGCAAATCATCTCATTTTGCCAGTTGTACCTCCTAAGTAGGGGTCCCCATGCCTTGGCCCTTAGTGGGCATTTTCATTCTTGTCTCTGTTGTTACAGAGGCTCCTTACTGGTCTCTTGGCTTTGTGTTGTCTCCAGCTTTTCTCCCCACCTGCTTTTCAGCTTGCCTTTCCATGGTGCTACTGGAGTGTCTTTGCAGTATGCTTATCCGATCAGTGTGTTCCCCTGCTCAGTTTCCACAGCTCCCCATCTTCTGCAGCAGTGGTCCCAACAGTGAAGAGAATACATCCATGCATAACCAGCACCATCCAGGGAGGTGCACAAAGGCATTATTAGAGCATCTGTGTATTTTTTTTTTTTATTCTGAAAGTACAATAAACAATTGGATATACTCCACATAGACTCAGCAGTTAACATGTTGCCACATTGCATATGTTTTCTTTACACAGACACTGTGTGTGCTCTGCAGATCAGGATACTTCACTCCTAAATACTTAAGCATTCACCTTCTGAAAGACGAATTAGGATGTCCTCCATTTGTAACAATAATACTATTATAACATGTAAGACTATCACTAATTTCGTATTATTATTGTTACTATTTTGAGACAAGGTCTTGCCCTGTTGCCTAGGCTGGAGTGCAGTGGTGTGATGTCGGCTCACTGCAACCTCTGCCTTCTGGCTCAAGTGATTTTCCCACCTCCGCCCCCTGAGTAGCTGGGACTACAGGCAACACCACTATGACTGGCTAATTGTTATATTTTTGGTAGAGACAGGGTTTTATTACATTACCCAGGCTGATCTTCAACTCATTGGCTCAAGTGATCTGCCCACCTTGGCTTCCCAAAATGCAGGGATTATAGGTGTGAGCCACCACACCTGGCCTAATACCTGTTATTTATATCATATTCAGATTTCCTCAATGATTCTATACTTTTCTTTTTAAATTTTCCTGATTCAGGATATGATCCAACACAGTGGCCTACCTCTGGGTGAGGGCTTCCTGCATCCCCAGCAGACTCACATCTCTTTCCCCTCTGCTCCTGCTGGCCATGCTTATCTTAGTTCTGTGGGCAGTGCTCATTTTCATTGTCTGTCTTCTCATTAGAATGTAACCTCTTGGAGAGCACTGTGCGTTTTATCATTGTATCCTCAGCATCTGACTCGGTACTAAGATAAATATTTATTGAATAACGAACAAACAACTGATGTCTTGTTATATTCTTCTTCTCTTCCCTTTGTCCCACTTTTTTCATTTATAATCACAATTTTACTGCATCCAGCACACAAACCATCCCTAATACCTTTTGCATCTGGTGGAAACCGGCGGTCTTGCAGAGTGTTGTAACATTGTCAAATTCTAGGCATGCAGGGACAGGATCTCCTTTGTTTGGAAGCATTCAGTTTTTGCCCACACCTTAACCATTTGATAAGCAAGGGAAGCCTCCCCCATGGGAGGTGTTTTTTTGTTTTCTGCATGGAAATGGGTATGTGTCCTAGAGTCTTGCACTTGACCACATGGTACTTACGTGAATATGAGGCAAGAGAAATAATGTTTATGAAGAGTTTGTGTAGATCCTGTCTTTGCTAGAGCAGAGTGTACACGTTAGGGCATAGTACAATAAAGATTGGGGCTGGATTGAGGAGCTTGAAGAATGTACACTTCCTTCCTAGAGTAATTTGGCAGCCATTGAAGGTTAAGGAGAGGATGGTCCCTCTTAGATGATCAACTGCCAGAGCCATAGTGCCTGTCTTGCCTCAGCACACCTGAGAACAAAGGCCCTGGAACAGGGTGGTTTTGTCGGTCTTCCCTGCAGGGTATTTCTGAAATCCTTTCTGTGTCTTGATGGGGCCACATGTCACTGTTAGTCCTTGCCTCGGCACCTGTAACATAGCCTCCATGTTCCTGTCACTTCAGCTCACGTTCCCGAGTCTGTCTGCTTCTGGGAGTCCTGAGAGAATTGTTGAAAGCATAACTTCTTCCTCCTTAACCTACCACACCCCCCAAAATGATCTCCATTGTGCTTCCCATGTGTAGTGATGCCCCGAGGTATCCCTCACTGAAGCCGATGAAGTCTTCAGTCTGTTCCCTGGCAGGGCTCTGTCGGTACCTGCTTCAGACCCCTTCTCTGTTGCCCTGATTTATTCTACACCATTCACACTGGCTTCTTTCTGAAGTTTATTAAAGTTGCAAACCTGTTTCTGCGTTAGGATTTTTGTACTTCTTGTGTCCTTTGCCTCAGACTTGTCTTACTTTAATTCCTGCCTTTATTTAGACCTCTCCTGAATGTCACCTTCTCAGAAAAGACCTCCCCTGAACACCCTTGGCCTTATCAGTCTCCTTTCTTTGCTTTGCTTTTCTTCAGAGCCTGTTTAGCTGCCTGACATGATGTGTGAATTCCTCATTTATTTGCCTTATTGCTCATATTTTCAACCACTACATGAATTTCCTAATTTGGCTTGTGTGTTTTTCTTACTGTGTTCCTAGCACCAAAACCATGCTTAGCACACAAAAAGGACTCAGTAAATATTTGTTGCGTGAGTGGTTGAGGTGGCAACATTAAATCCCTCAGTTCTGTTACTTCCTTGGACTTCATACTGAACCTGCTCCATATAGAGGGGATATTCGTGCTGTCCTCGTAAGGGCTGCTGACAATGTAAAGAGTCAGTGTGTACCTGGCACCATGTGTTCAGTGTGCGTGACAGCGGCTGTCTCACGACACTGAGGTGCTATTGGCTGTCCTCTACTAGTTTCTCGGATAGCGTCCTGTAGAATGAGCGACCACAGTGTCACCCAGAGACTAGTTTATCAGAAAGTGACTTAAGGGGCCCAGTTCTTCCCAAAGTGAAAGCTTTCCACTCATTCCACTCTTAGTGGAAGCAGAGTGCAATTGCACGCTTTTCATTTTGGAAGAAAGACAGCTCCAATTTGTCCTTTGTGACACCATTATCTGTAAGAAAGAAAAGCTGTGGCTGGTCGCTGCAGTGGTGGCTCAGTCAGAGGTGCAATGAAAGCGTTTCAGTTGGGTTTCAGTGGGCTTCTTGGGAATGTAGCAGCCTGATACCTTAATTCAGGAACTATCACAGTGAGAAAAGAAAGAAAAACAAAATCTCTTTCACCTCCTATTGTGTTTTTATACAATTACATTATTGAGCTAAATTACCTAGCATCATTTGGAGCTCAGTAGAAGCCGAGTAACGGTTTACAAACCTGAACCAGGAGGGTAAAAGCATGTCACCAAAGAGATTCTGTTCAGTGAACCTTAATGAGGGATATGAAGTACCAAAAAACCCCTGAATTTAGGCTGGGTGTGGTGACCTAAGCCTGTAATCCCAGCACTTTGGGAGATTGAGGCGCACAGATCAGTTGAGGCCAAGAGTTTGAGACCAGCCTGGCCAACATGCTGAAACCCTGTTTCTACTAAAAATACGAAAATTAGCCAGGCATGGTGGTATGTGCCTGTGGTCTCAGCTACTTGGAAGGCTGAGGCAAGAGAATGGCTTCAACCCAGGAGGTAGAGGTTGCAGTGAGCTGAGATTGTACCATTGCACTCCAGCCTGGGTGACAGAGTGAGACTCTGTCTCAAAAAAAAACAAAAACAAAAAAACATCCTGAACTTAAATGTGAGGTGATAGGTCTTTGAAAGAATATTTGTTCTGGTGTAATTGAATTAAGCAGCTCCTGAGAAATGTTTTTAAAAACATCTCCTGGGCCGGGCGCGGTGGCTCAAGCCTGTAATCCTAGCACTTTGGGAGGCCGAGGCGGGTGGATCACGAGGTCGAGAGATCGAGACCATCCTGGTCAACATGGTGAAACCCCGTCTCTACTAAAAATACAAAAAATTAGCTGGGCATGGTGGTGCGTGCCTGTAATCCCAGCTACTCAGGAGGCTGAGGCAGGAGAATTGCCTGAACCCAGGAGGCGGAGGTTGCGGTGAGCCGAGATCGCGCCATTGCACTCCAGCCTGGGTAACAAGAGCGAAACTCCGTCTCAAAAAAAAAAAAAAACATCTCACTCAGAGTTGCTGGCAGATTACAAATCCTCTCCTTCCACCTGAGTGCCCTCAGATAACAGCCAACTCAGCTACCTGTTCTCATGGAGAAAAATCTTCCTGTGGCTCAGGGGGACCACAGTATGTATAACAGGGCTTTTCTGTCTTCTCATCAGACATATGATTAGAGTAGTTTGTCAGGGTGGAACTTGCTCTGGGGCCTCCCCTTCTCTCTGCTGCTGCTGACCTCCTGTCCCAGTTGGGAGCCTCCTGTCCCAGATGATGGTTCAGCTGGTTGCAGCAGAGGGAAGCCCCTGCATCTGGCCAGTTGCCCAGACCCTATCCTGCCTCTCCTGTGTTTGGGTTTTTAGTTTCTGTGGTGGGCAGGGGTGGTCTCTTCCAATTCTTCTTTTCCTGGACAACGAGCGTCATAGAGTTTAAGTCATTTGCCAGTCTTAAAACTGGTAGATGTTGAAACGTAGCTTTGAATCTAGTTCTTCAGACCTCAAATTCCATTTTCCTTCTTGCCGATTCTCCTTGATTAAATGACATATGAGGCATTCATGTAGTCATGTCTAGTGTTGTTCATCTACCTATTGAGTCAGGAGTTTATATTTATCCTGGACCTCTGTTCTCAGCCCCACATGAATCAGTGTGTTACATTTTGCCTTCTTTTGTTGGTCTTTGTGTTTTTTTGCTGAGTTCTTGTGTTTCTTTCCCTCAGCTCATACCTGGCCTTTGATGAGGCTCTCCGGTGGATCAGAATCCTTATAAACAAGGAAGCAGGGATATGGAAGGTAGCAAGAAGGGAGTATCTGTACCTGGCTGGCTGAATAGATTAACATGCTGGAGGAATAGGTCTTGAGGGTTAAAGTGTTGGTCATTCTCTTGGCATCCTCTGGAGCCCTCCTAGGAAGCTGTGTGGGCACCCTAGGTTCTGAGGCCTTGCCTGTTTATTGCTGTACTGCAAGTTGCAAGGCTGGCCCTCTTTCCTGTTACAGGGGGTGCTGAAGAATCAGAGCCTCCTCAAGCACCCTGGTTCCAAAGCTTATACATACCCCAACAGACATTTAGATCATTTCAGCAGTGCTCAGCTTCAGAGGAACAAAGGGGCTCCCCTAGGTAGGTGTTTATGTTAGTCCATTCTCACATTGCTGTTAAAATATCGGAAACTTGGTAATTTATAAAGAAAATGGGTTTAGTTGGCTCACAGTTCCACAGGCTGTAAAAGAAGCGTGGCTGGGGGGGGCCTTAGGAAACTTTTTATCATGGTAGAAGGGGAAGCAGGCATCTTACATGGCTGTAGCAGGAGGAAGAGAGAAGGGGGATGTGCTACACACTTTTAAACAACCAGATCTCACGAGAAATCAGTATGACCAGAACAGCAGGATGGAAATCTGCCCGCATGATCCAGTCACCTCCCACCAGACACCTCCTCCAACACCAGGGATTTCAATTCAACATGAGGTATGGGCAGGGACACAAAGCCAACCATATTAGTGTTTAATGTTCAACACTGAGCAGGCTTTTCTGTTTAGTTTTTAAATACCACTTCAAAATTACTTATACAACACATAAAAATCATAGTTTCTTTCATCTTTACCAGGAATCTGATCTTGTAGGTCAGTTTGAGGTTTGGTGATGAAGATGCTGACTTTCAGGACTACTTTTCTGGGCCTCACCAAATTACTTTGTCACTTGCCCCTTGGTTAACTGTGCTTCATACAGGCATGATCTCAACTTGTCTGAGAAGATCTTCTCGCCCCAGAATCCCTGGGAAGCTGGCCCTATACCTGCCTTTGAGATTCCCTGGGGTCACCCCGGAATTTAGAATGACTGCTCGAGTATATGACAAGTTCATGAGTGACCTCAGACGTTGCCTTTATGGCCCAGGCCATATCAGGACCCCTCTGTCTGGAGCTTTCCTTGTCTAAAACAAAACCAGAATAGTTTAGTCCCTGGCTTTAATCTGTGCTTGTTAGTCACCAGTTATCTACCCCTTGAGATATATGTGTGCTCAGCCCAAGCAGTGGGAACTGTAGGGATGATGTGGGTGGGAGGTGTGGGTGCCAGGGACCCTGACGTCTTGCAGTGTCCAAGGAACTGTTATTATTGGGAGTGATTGGCCAGTGTTCTTTCTGTCTTCATGTTCCTTGTAATAATGCACGAGCAAGCTCAATCCCTGGCCGTGAGAGGATGGACTCTGACACCATGAATAGCTGCCTCAGAGTTGCAGACAGGGAGACAGCAAAGCTGGCTTGTTCTAGGGCTGACCTGGACCCGAAGGAGCTGAGGATGAAAAGAGAAAGAGCAAGGCAGTGCCCATGGCGTCCTGTGGGCAGCCCAGTTTGATCTTCTGTGCAGTATTTTCGGAGACCAAGCAGTTTTAATTCTGTCAAGTTTAATTTACAGTATTCCAGGCCTAAGTGATCATTCCATCACTCTTCCGGAAAGGAGACTGACGCTGGCAAACTGTGCTCACGCATGTAAACCACTTACCCCAACCACTAACTGTCCTGCTGTTTGCTCATGCCAGCAAAAACCCGGGCGGCTGACTTGTTGGTGAATCCCCTGGATCCCCGGAATGCAGATAAAATTAGAGTAAAAATTGCTGACCTGGGAAATGCTTGTTGGGTGGTAAGTAGAATTTTCTTTTTAAAACACTTTGATCATGATTCTATGTGCAAAGACACTTTTTCAATGTCTGTGTTCTCTGTGGTAATGCAGTCTGTTCCCTTCCAGCATAAACACTTCACGGAAGACATCCAGACGCGTCAGTATCGCTCCATAGAGGTTTTAATAGGAGCGGGGTACAGCACCCCTGCGGACATTTGGAGCACGGCATGTATGGTAAGGATGGCTTTGCCCTTTGCTGCCGTGGAAATTGACTCATTCTTTTCACACTCTGGAAGGGGCTGAGTCTTTCTGGTGCATGTCGTCTCAGTTTTTCTGACTGTAATTGTCATCCACCGTGGGCTGGGTGAGGGGAATGTTGCTGCCACAGGAATCTTAAGAAGTGTAAGGATCCTCCTCAGGCGGGCCCTGGGTGTAAGACTGCCTGAGGTGGGCAGGTGGGAGCCCTCCAGGTAGCCTCTGCTGCGGCAGCCAGACACACAGGGTTCCTCACCTCTTCCTGACTGGAAGGGATTTCCCCAGATGCCAACACATAACCTCTCTTCCCTTATAAAGCAAGAGCTAGAGGATATTTTGGCTTATTCTAGGATGTCTGGCCCCGTCTGAGACAGTGGCAGCAACACCCACTCCCTCTGACAGAGTCTTTTCCCACAGTGATTGTGATGACGGCTTCCACGGGGCAGCAGAAGCCTCTTCTTTCCCTGGTCAGACCTGTTTTGCCGAGGTTCGGTGCCACCCAGTTGCACTGTGTCTGAACTCCCCGGGCCCTGCCTGGGCGTCTGTCAGTCACTGACCCTGAACCTGTGAGTTGGTGCACACAGGGGGCCCCGTGTCTGCAAACGAGGTCCTGGTTCTCTTCCTTTGCCCCGTTTCCTGGTCCACGGAGCGCCTTTTTCTCAGTGGGCTTTACTTAGTTGTTTGTGTTGGGAAAGGTAGGTTGCTTGCTGATGCTTTTCCTATTCCATATTGGTTTTTATCCACATTTCCTCTAGTATTTGAAAGAAAGGGCTTGTGTAGAAGGCTTAGCAGTTTTCTTCTCTCTGAAAAAAAGCAATGCAGAATAAATATATTAATTTTGTGCTATTCAGCGGTTAACTTAACAGTTCTCTTGCATTTACTGTGTTGCGTCTCCTCTAGTGCTCAAGTAAAAGCATCGTTGAGTAGATAGTGCCAGCGGAAAAAGGAGATAAAGTCTTTTACCTTCGACTCAGCATGATCTGAGTCAGCACATGGCCAGATAGGTCCTGAAATACCCGGCCTTTCTATTCCCTCGTTGCTCTTATGGATAATACCAGATATTAATGTTTAAATTATTAAAGGTGTTAAGTTCTTCTGTATCAAAAACCAGGTCCCTGCCTTAGCTAGGTATAGAAAAGAATGGTTAAAGGGACCTGTGGACAGTGATGGTTACTTTGAATTTAGCGAGTGCTGTGTGGAGAGGCATTTGACCCCTCTGTGACTCTAACAGGCAAACTGAGACCTGGAAGAGTAAGCGGAACAGGAGCCGCGGGAACAGTGAGTGGGAGTGTGGGAAGCAGGGGCCACTTCAGGATGTGGGGAGGGTAGGCCCAATGGCCACCAGCAGCAGGGCTGCCCTGAATTAGGTGCTAAGAACACTTTCAACTCTGAAATGCTGTGCTTCTAATTTGGGGTATTAAGTTTGGTGATATAACCAGAAAAGTAGGACACAGTCACGGATATAGTGGGATAATGGAGCTGTCAGCACAATTTTATACCAGGTTATCTGTCCTTCCTTCCATTAGATGAAGGTTTGTCCCTCCATGCAATTTCCTGTCCTGTTTATTTACTGAAATGTTATTGCTGTGAACAGTGGCATAAGTATCAACAACAGGTTCCCAAGGAAAAGCCTTCTCTGTCTCCTCATCTGCCCCCTTCCCAAGAATTAAGCATAAGCTCCCTTAGCACTGGCAGGGCCGCTTATGAGGTTTTCTTTTTTAGTTGGTTGTCATAAGGCAGATCTTTTTTTTCTTTTTTTAGGAAAGGGGCAGGCCTTCTTTCCCTGCCTCTCCCACTCACAAAAGTCATGGCTTTAGAGGTTTCTTTTGTTTTTCCTAGATAACCTAGGAGCAATGAGGCAGTGTTTGTTACCTCCACTGTTTTGTTGTAGTGTAAAAATAATACATGTAATACATTAAATTAGACCTCATAATGCCAAGCTTGATGGTTAAGCCTGTGGTCTTTGAGGGTTTTGTTTGTTTGTTTGTTTCTTTAGAGACAAGGTCTCGTTCTGTCACCCAAGCTAAACTACAGTGGCATGACTATGGTTCGCTGCAGATTCCACTTCCCAGGCTCAAGTGATTCTCCTACCTCAGCCTCCGGTGTAGCTGGGACTACAGGCACACACCACCACACCAGGCTAATTTTTGTATTTTTTGTAGAGATGGAGTTTCGTCATGTTGTCTAGGCTGGTCTTGATCTCTTGAGCTCAAAGGGATCCACCTACCCTGGCCTTCCAAAGTGCTGGGATTATAGGCATGAGCCACTGTGCCCTGCTGTCTTGGAGTTTTATAAATAGCATCAAATCTCACAGAGACTCTGTTGGGAATGAGAGCTGATGGGTGGTAGCCAGGTTCCCTTGGCTCTTATCAGGGAGGAGAGCTTTAGGCTCTGCAGCTGGAGAAGCACAACGGAATGAGGCACTGCAGCAAGGGTATGTTGGTTTTGAATCTGTTTCACTTTTCTTGAGTTTTACTTTTTCTTGAGCTTTACACCTTCCAGGTGTAAGTACATGTAATCTGAAACTTCTTTGTGGTTGAAGCGTTGGTTCCTCTGTGTTTATGTGTTAGGGTCCCTGGTAGGACTTTTTATGAGCTCCATTGTAAGTCCAGGTCAGTGCCATAGAAAGAAGAAAAGCTGCTGGGCGCTGTGGCTCACGCCTGTAATCCCAGCACTTTGAGAGGCCGAGGTGGGCGGATCACAAGGTTAAGAGATTGAGACCATCCTGGCCAACATGGTGAAACCGTGTCTCTACTAAAAATACAAAAAAATTAGCTGGGCGTGGTGGCGCGTGCCTGTGGTCCCAGCTACTCAGGAGGCTGAGGCAGAAGAATTGCTTGAACTCAGGAGGCTGAGGTTTGTGGTGAGCCGAAATTGTGCCACTGCACTCCAGCCTGGTGACAGAGCAAGACTCCGTCTCAAAAAAAAGAAAAAGAAAAAAAGAAAAAAACAACAACAACAAGAAAAGCCATTCCACCCAACTTAACCAGAGTTCTTCGACTCTGGTCACATTACAGAATAGCTAGGTGATCTTATTTGTTCGGAATCAAGGTACTTTGGCATAGGAGACTGTTTTAGGAGAGAGGCACTGGGTCTCCTAAGAGTTCACAAACAAGTAGGTCTGGGGAAAAGCCTTTGAGGGGATTGGGCCAAGTACAGAAGAAAGAACCCAAAGTTCCCAGGTATTAAAAATACTAAAGGTAATACTTGGGCCCAGTGGGGTGATGTATACCTGTAATCCCAGCACTTTGGGAGGCCAAGGCAGGTGGATTACTTGAGGCCGGGAGATTGAGACCAGCCTGGCCAACATGGCCAAAACCCAGCTCTACTGAAAATACAAAAATTAGCCAGGCATGGTGGCTTGTTTCTGTCCCAGCTACTCGGGTGGCTAAGGCAGGAGAATCGTTAGAACCCAGGAGGCCGAGGTTGTAGTGAGCCAAGATTGCGTCGCTGTATTCCAGCCTGGGTAATAGAAGGTTACACTAGAAGTAACTTACTGAGTTGAAGGTGGAGTTTTTTCATTGTAATGTATATTTGCCCTGTTGCACGTCATATTGTTAAGAGAATCTAGTGACTCGCCAAAGAACCAAAAATAGGTAGCATTACAGCCTCCATTTTCCTTCTTCCTTTAAAACAACAACAAAAAAATTATTTCATTGATAGGCTTCTATACATGTTTTCTTGGAAATATATGGGCGCTGGAAGCCATGGTGGCTCAGGCCAGTTGTCCTCGTGCTTGAGGAGCTGAAGCTACGTGTTCGAGGCCAGCCTGGGCAACATAAGAACCTCTCATTCATTTTTAAAAAAAAAAAAAAAAAAAAAGCAATATATGGGTGCTAATTCAAAATGATCATTTTTTTCAAAGAATATTTAGCTGACATATTTTGACGGTAAGAAATATGTACAAAGCTGGGCGCAGTGGCGTGTACCTGTAGTCCCAGCTTCTTTGGAGGCTGCGGGAGGATCATTTGAGCCCAAGAGGTCAAGTCCAGCCTGGACAACATAGTGAGGTCCCGTCTCTAAAAAATATAAAAGAAAAAGAAATATATGCAATCAGCTTGAAGTTGTTTTGAAAATTAATTAAAAGAGTTAGCATAAGGCTCAAGGCAGGGTTTGAAAAGCAGCTGGAGCTTGCTTTGGAGCTTGATCCAAGCTTTTCAAGTCCTTGGTGTCCCATTAGGGTTTTCAGATTTTTCTCTTAGCTTGTAAGATTACTGAATTGATTATTTCCCAGGCTAGAAAGACTGTCCTGGTCATTAAGGATATAATCCAGTTGTTCCGTGTGGATTTGGGGCCAATTGTGAGGTTTTCCTGCCCTCATCTGGGATTGGCCCAGCTGTCTTTTTTGTTTATACGGTGGAAAGGAGAGGCCCTACGTGAGGGTCTTCCTGGGTTCTCCGCTGGTGCCTTCGTGCATCCACAGTGCTGAGATGTGACATGTCCATGTCCTGCTCAGACCTATGCCAGGTTCAGGGCAGGGATCCTGAGTTCATAAGCTAATGTTCATCACATGGGCAGCTGGCAGCCATCTTGTCACCATGCTTCCTTCCTTTAACTAATTCACATGCAGTCTTTTTAAAAAAAAAAAAATGGTGAAAAGATGTACTCACTCTTGGTTTGTTAAAGACAGTCCTAGGAGAAGTGGCCCCTTACCCAGGCAAATGATTCTTCCCTTAAAGGTGCTTTCCCAGCACTGTGTGGTCATTAAAAGAAAAAGAAGGTAGGTTGATGCGGTGAAGTTTCCACAGTGCTGGCTCCTTGGGGTGGGAGTGGCGAGGGCAGCCACAGATTCACAGGCACCAGTGACTGGGCCTCTGAGCACCTTTTGGGACAGCAAGATCTGTTCAGAATAGAAGCTGCTGTGAGAAAAAACAGAAATGGGATTTAGCTTATTCTTTTTTTCAGTTTTAAAACATACTGTTTGATCAGCAGAGTAGGAGCAGTTACCGTTTTTGTATATTGTTACCAGCTTAAACTCATGCCCTTAAGGTTTTTTTTTGTGAGCAAGTTAAATGGGAACAAATGGCCTTCACTACATGTGGGCATACTAAGGGGCAGCCAGTGGCCACCCAGGAAGCCAGTGCTCCGTAACATCCACCAGAAGGTCTGTAAGGCCATCTGCTTCCTCGCCTTGGGGAGAAAGACAGAGGGTCTTCTTTGTTTCCAGGTTTTCCTTTGGTTGAGTCAGAAATGAATAAAATGATGAAAATAGATGATAAGATGCTGAAAACAGTCCTTGATTACTAAAACATGAAGATCTTTGCCTAAAGGACACAACAGTGTCTGCTATACAGAGGCCAAGGCTATTACAATGGTTGAGGCAGGCGCTGGAGTCAGATGGGCCTGGGTGAGTCCTGGGTTGAACTCTAGTTCTACTGCTCATAGAAGGCATACCATTCTTTGGCCAGGCCTGCACACAGGTGTCGCTGACTCACTGTCATTTTGGTTTTGCTTCCTGCAAAATGAAGAGAATACATAGCTCTTATATCTTTGCTTAGAAGCAATGTAGGGCCAGGTACTGTGGCTCATACCTGTAATCCCAACACTTTGGGAGGACGAGGTGGGCAGATCACTTGAGGTTCGGAGTTGGAGACCAGCCTGACGAGCATAATGAAACCCTGTCTTTACTAAAAATACAAAAAATTAGCCGGGCATGGTGGCACATGCCTGTAGTCCCAGCTGCTTGGGAGGCTGAGGCAGAAGAATCACTTGAACTCAGGAGCCCAGAGGTTGCAGTGAGCTGAGATCACACCATTGCACTCCAGCCTGGGCAACAGGAGCAAAACTCCATCTCAAAAAAAAAAAAAAAAAAAGAAGAAATATAAAAATACTTCTGAAATTTCCTTGAATGTGGAAGAAAGAAAATAGTGCACTTTCGGGAGGCTATTTTGTTTGATTCAGTTCTTCATAAAGTGGCGGTCTCTTCTATAAGGAGAAAAAGCTGGTGACTTGGGTGCCATTCTCTGAAGTGCTTAGCATGTCATCTGTTGTATCCTAGGCATTTGAGCTGGCAACGGGAGATTATTTGTTTGAACCACATTCTGGGGAAGACTATTCCAGAGACGAAGGTGAGTAGTGGTGCCTGCTGAATATCTCGGTCTAGGTCTTCTGCCAGCCCTGAACTTCAGTAGAGTACTGTATTTTTGTACTGAAATAGAGCCATGTTTTGGTTTTCAAACACCAAATTCAGATGCTTTTCCTTTGAGTTTGACACCCCCCTCAGTCTCAGTGAATGGGCAGAGCCTGCCTGGCACAGGCAGCACTCTCAGAGCCCTCAGGGGCCTACGCCAGCGGCTCTTCCTGGCCTTGCACAGGGCAGGAACCCAGCTGGCCAAGAGAGGACAGATGAAGCAGACCTGAAACCTCTCTGTGGTCCTTTTGACCACTTATGTGCTGCCCATTTCTCTGTCCTGTTTGGGAGCTGAGTTGAAGACCCAGGAATTCTAGCTTGAATTCCATCTGTAAACCTGACCATCTCCATGCTTATTTGCTTGCGATGCTGGGGTGGCCTGGGGGGAGCTGGCCTCCATAATGGTTACTACTCCAGACGGTGCCTGAGGCCTGCTAATCCCAGGAGCCTCTGCATGGATGTGCTGCAGACACTGTTGATTTGAATCTATTTCTGATTTTTTACTAATTTCAATTTTTCCCTCTTCTTTTATCCCATCCTTCCCTTTGCCCCTCCCATTCCCATATCCTTTTTTTCTCTCCTCCATAGACCACATAGCCCACATCATAGAGCTGCTAGGCAGTATTCCAAGGCACTTTGCTCTGTCTGGAAAATATTCTCGGGAATTCTTCAATCGCAGAGGTAGTACCTCTTCTTTTTGAAAAGCGCCACGATGCAGACAGAAACAGAAGAGCAGCTGCGGATTTTAGTATTAACGGTGACAAAGACATTTCTCCTAAATTCAGAAAGCAACCCAGCAGAATTCCTATGCTGCTAGAAAAGTTGTCAGGGAAGATCACATTTAGCCCTGTGCTGTGGTCACCCTGCTCATCAGCCCCTCTCCAGTGCCCTTCAGCTCTGGGTCCTGAATCCAGCCACGTGGGGAAGGCCTGTACTTTTGGTCATTCAGGTCGTGCTCTGTTTCTGTCTGCGCGGGCGGTGGTAGTGTCTGCATGCAGTGTACTGATTAAACTGTCGTGTGTTTCTGTTTTGCTGGCAATGTTTCCCAATGCAGATCACATAGCATTGATCATTGAACTGCTGGGGAAAGTTCCTCGAAAATACGCTATGTTGGGGAAATATTCCAAGGAGTTTTTCACCAGAAAAGGTAACGGTATTTATGCAACACTAATTTTCAGCATAGTCTTCTTCCCAAAGGAGAAATTGTGCATTCATAATTGGGCAGTGGCGAAAGATCTGGACTTTCACAGCTGGGGAATTCTGCTGAAGAAAGCTCTCAAGAAATAAACCTGACCCATCTGATACCTGGAGTAAGAACTTTGTAAGAGAACAGCCTTCCTAACAACATTTTTCTCCTCCACCTGTCTCTTTTCTTACTCCAAGTTACCAATCTGTGTATTCATATATTTATGGAAAGGCGTTGAGGTGATTGTTAAAAGGCAGCTAGACTTACCTTTCCATTTCTCATGTTCAGGTACTATCTTTAGTGGAACAGAGGTGGCCTAGAGACTTGACTTAATGAATGTCCAGGGACATGGCTTTTGGTCAGCCTGTGGTGGGTATAGGCCTATGAAATGCTGCGTACCTCACATTCTTCAAAATCACATCCTGTGTTCCCACTGTTTTGTGTCACACTGTATTAAGGTGATTATTTTCGTGTTGTAGTTCTTACTGATCTTCCAACTGTTGATTTGCCCAGTGTAGTCCCCAGTTATTAATTTATAAAAACACCCCAGAGCCCCAGGAATATTTTTAAAAGAACCCCTCCTAAGTGCTATACTGTTTTTTGTTTTTTGTTTTTTTTTTAGTTGGGAGTCTCATTCTGTTGCCTAGGCTGGAGTGTAGTGGTGCGATCTTAGCTCACTGCAACCTCCACCTCCCAGGTTCAAGTTTTTCTCCTGCCTCAGCCTCCCAAGTAGCTGGAATTACAGGGGTGTGTCACCATGCCTGGCTAATTTTGTGTGTGTTTTTAGTAGAGATAGGGTTTCACCATGTTGGCCAGGCTGGTCTCAAACTCCTGACCTCAAGTGATCTACCCACTTTAAGCCTTCCAAAGTGCTGAGATTACAGGTGTGAGCCACTACAACCAGCCTGCTATATTTTTTTGTGATAAGTATACTTGGTCCTTTTACTTCATACTTTTCCAGGTTAGATTTTTTGGTTTTGGATGCAACATGCCTTAATAAAGAACTTTTAAAATTGACGTGAATAGGACATGAGGCTTTTAGAAATTTCTTTGAAGTCCCAGATACTCTGTCTTCCTTACTTAGATGGATTTCTGCTCTTGTTTCCCAGGCTAGAGTGCCATGGTGCGATCTTGGCTCACTGCAACCTCTGTCCCTGCCCCCCTGGTTCAAGTAGTTCTCCTGCCTCAGCTTCCTGAGTAGCTGGGATAACAGGTGTCTGCCACCACACCTGGCTAAGTTTTTATATTTTTATTAGGGACGGGGTTTCACCATGTTAGTAGCCAGGCTGGTCTCAAAGTCCTGACCTCAGGTGATCCACCCACCTCGGCCTCCCAAAGTGCTGGGATTAGAGAGGTGTGAGCCACCACGCCTGGCCTCAAATTGATTTTTTATTTTCCCATGAGATAAGGAATTTTTGTGAGTAATCATCTTTATTACTCACTTTGGTGAGGTTTGGCTAACCAGTCAGTCCTTATATTTTTCTTTAAGTTATGTTTCCTTGTTAAATGTACAAGACTTGAGAACTGACTGTGCTAAAGATGGTGGTTTGCTGCTGTACTTACTCTGGGCAAATTGACTACACCTCTTAGATTTTATACGGTCACCTGGTGAAGGCATTTTGTGAAATATATAATTCCATGTAATTATTTACCTCATTACCTCTCAGACTTATCACAGGTAAAAAATTATCAGGAAAAACCATTTATCAGACAATCTGTAATTATTTTTGGTTCTGATAATCTGGTCTTTGAATCTAGGCCGTGTTTGCCAGGTACAGAGTTGCCTTCTTACATGGAGACTCACAAGCACAGGCCCAGCTGGAGTCAAGGGCTGGAAAATGGTTTTGCTGTGAAACTGTGTTGAGTAATGGAGCTGGGCTCCCACCTGCTGTGAGAATGGCATATCAGGTCGTCTCTGAACTTCAGCTTCCTCATCTGTCAACAGGGGTTCTTTCAGGTTGGCCTTTACCCTTACAAGAAGGTATAAGAGGATGCCTATACAGCACTGGGCACAACCCTAGCTGTTATTATTGCTAAAGAAAAGCTTTGAACAGGAAAACACTGGGAGCTTATGAATGTCTATACAGCAATATTACTGAGAGAACAGACTGAGTTTCCCTGGAAACTTACAGAAAATATTATTTGAAAATAATTGGGCCGGGTGCGGTGGCTCATGCCTGTAATCCAGCGCTTTTAGGGGCTGAGCAGGTGGATCGCTTGAGGTCATGAGTTCGAGACCAGCCCAGCCAAACATGGTGAAACCCCTTCTCTACTAAAATACAAAAATTAGCTGGGTATGGTGGTGGGTGCCTGTAATCTCAGGTACTCAGGAGGCTGAAGCAGGAGAATTGCTTGAACCTGGGAGGCAGAGGTTGCAGTGAGCCGGGATCATGCCACTACACTCCAACCTGGGCGACAGATGACTTGCCATGAGCCCCCAGCTGTGGGTCAGATGGGAGTTGGGTCTGGTCTGTCACGGAAATAGAGAGCATGATTGACTTGGAGTGCTCTAGAGGTGAAGGAGAGACCTGAGAGACAGGGGCCACAGCACCTGCTTGGGCACCATGGTTTGCTGAGCCTCATTTTCCATTGCAGCCAGCTGGCATGGTGATGACCAACAGTAAAGTCACACAGGAGAACTATTCCTTTAATTGGAACCCTTCCTGAGTAACAAGGAGCCATTTTGAGTGACCTGGCTCTACATTTTTTTTTTTTTTTTTTTTTTTTTTTTTTTTTTGAGATGGAGTCTTGCTCTGTCACCAGGCTGGAGTGCAGTGGCGCAGTCTCGGCTCACTGTATCCTCTGCCTCCTGGGTTCAAGCAGTTCTTCTGCCTCAGCCTCCTGGGTAGCTGGGTCTACAGGTGGCCACCACCATGCCCAGCTAATTTTTGTATTTTTAGTAGAGACATGTTTTCACCGTGTTGGACAGGCTGGTCTCAAACTCCTGACCTCAGGTGATCTGCTTGCCTTGGCCTCACAATGTGTTGGGATTGCAAGCGTGAGTCACCGTTCCTGGCCATGCCTTTGTCTTGAACTTTCTCTTGGAGAGGATCGAGGACTCCATACTGTGCACAGCGGCAAGGAGGGAAAGAAGAACAAAAAGAGAGGCCTTGAACAGTGAGAAAGTGAAGTCGCTGAGTTATTGGAAGGGGCCTGTAAGCGCCTGCAGGCGTGGAGCTGGTGTAGGCATCTGCTCTTGGGCTGGCACTCCTTGGTGTTTCGTTTCAGTGAGAGTGGCCTGCATGTGGCCCTTTATGGCTGAAAGGCAGCTTCGACTTGGGCCTTTCTGTCAGTACGTTTGCTCCCTGAGACAGCTTGTGGATGTGCATCTCCTGGTTACCGCCTTCATCACCACATATGATTAGAACTTGTGTGATCGAGTTGTTTTTTGAGCTGCTTATTTGAAGGTAACCTGCAGAGTTAAAATGCATTTGGCGTCCTTCTTAATGACAGACCAAAAACATTTTGACATTAACTTCATTAATGTACGCGTTTGTGTGGGCAGGTATTTCCATTTCTCTTGAACACACGTGTGGAAATTTTAAGTACAAATTTTCAAGTTTCACAGTAACTGGAACTCTTCTTTCCTTTTTTTGGATGTAAGAGGGCATTTGTGACTAGGCGAGAAGTCCCCTGATAGATCAGGGAATTGGGACTTTAGTTCTTTCCTGATTATTGTTCATTTCTCATGGCAGTAGAGATGAGAGGGACTTAGAGTTTTTATGGAAGCCACAGGATAACATTATGAGGAATGAGGGCCTGTCATGGAAGTAGATTTCACCATGCTTCTTAGGATGAGGGGTGTAGCTCTGCTGCATGAAAGATGTGTTTTGGCGTGTTCCCTTTAGTAATATGTGAATGAATGTACATTTTGGAAATAATGGAATCTTAAAGTATATCCATTTAAATTGTTTTCCTATAATATCTAAAGTACTGTGCTAGAACTGTTAGAAAGCAAAATTTATTTATTTTTGTTTTTATTTTCTTTTTCTTTTTGAGACAGAGTCTCACTGTGTCACTCAGGCTGGAGTGCAATGGTGCGATCTTAGGTCATTGCAACCTCAGCCGCCCAGGTTCAAGCGATTCTCTTGCCTCAGCCTCCCAAGTGGCTGGGATTACAGGTGTGTGCCACCATGCCTGGCTAATTTTTGTATTTTTAGTAGAGGCAGGGTTTCACCATGTTAGTCAGGCTGGTCTCCAACTCCTGACCTCGTGATCCACCCACCTCGGCCTCCCAAAGTGCTGGGATTACAGGAGACAGTCATTGCACCCAGCCAAAAAGCAAAAATTTTTTTTTTTTTTTTTTTTTTTGAGACGGAGTTTCCCTCTTGTTACCCAGGCTGGAGTGCAATGGCGCGATCTTGGCTCATCGCACCTCTGCCTTCTGCGTTCAGGCAATTCTCCTGCCTCAGCCTCCTGAGTAGCTGGGATTACAGGCACGTGCCACCATGCCCAGCTAATTTTTTGTATTTTTAGTAGAGACGGGGTTTCACCATGTTGACCAGGATGGTCTCGATTTCTTGAACTCGTGATCTACCCGCCTCGGCCTCCCAAAGTGCTGGGATTACAGGCTTGAGCCACGGCGCCCTGCCTTAAAAAGCAAAATTTTAAACAGCTGTTGATATGCCTAAGTCACCTTTGAAAGCAGTACTAATGGAGAGTTGACTTCCCAGGAAGTTTTCTGGCTCTTTTTCCTCTGGGGTCAGAAGCAGATTTTCATCCCTGCCATAGGGCCAGAGCGAGTGGGGTCTGTGTGTGAATGGTGAGCATCAGATGCCCCTCATCTGTCTCCTCTTCTTGTTTATCATTCAAGAAGTCATGGTCATTACTAGTTTGAATCATTCCTTAGCCAGAAAGAAGAGCTGGAGTTTTGGCCATGGAATGTAATTACAGCTCTTAAGGTTAATTTGCTGGACATGAGTCACCAGCATTTAGAAACTAGTGTGTTGAGAGGTGGGCCA